TGGTGAAGCTAGTTTAGTTTCCAGTGAGGAAGTGGAAGGATTACATTTTGAGAAGAAGGCGAGAATTCGATAGAGAATCATTATTGAGCCTAGCATTCTGTCTCTGTCAGCCTTCCTCGTTTCCCCGGGTTTCGCATCCCTGTTTTTGGATCTCGGCGACAAACGTTTTTTCGACACCGACGAGGAGGGATCTGTCTCTCCGTTGACTCCGACTTTCGTCACCGGTAAGTTCTCTCTTTACACACACACACACAGATATATAAAGGGAAACATTCCTCCCCTGTCCTTGCTCATCGTCGTGTGTTCTCTTCTTCCTGAATGTTTTACATCGACGTCGTAACGTACGATCGAGATTTCATAAATTACGCAAGCGATGGTTGATATTTTCTTCTTTTTTTTCCATCTTATTAATGCATCGTTTTGCATATATATGTAGTACGTGCACTCGGTCACGAAAGTCCACGTACAGGCCTGCAAATTTCAAATATTTAATGACAAAGGATAAGGAACATCGAACATTTATATCGGCCAATTTATTCATCGGTTAAAGTATTATACAGACTTTGAAGACCTGCTGGAAAAACATGAGAAAACAGCCGAGTGAAAAATCACGAAGTCTAATATATCTAAAAATTAAATATATAATATAATACTTACTTATGTACTATTATATATATTATAATATTGTTATTATAACACTACAACAGTATATAATGTATAATATAATATAAAATATACACTGAAAGCATAAAATGTTCTAAAAGTTATTTAATACAAAGTAAACTGTAGAGTTGATTAAACTTTTATATTGAAACTGTTTTTTTTTTGTTTTTTTTTTGATTGACTAGAGATGTAAGCAGAGTTGATTAAACTTCGTGAAATGTTCAAAATCCTCTCTTTTCCTTTTGTTCTTCAAATATTCGAGAAAAAAGAGACAAGTGTACATAGACTTCTGTAACAATGAATGCAGGTACATATGTATCTCTATATGCATTTCCATCTCGATATTGACAACAAATTTCTGCTGGATTGATCGCGAGAAGAGCAATACCTTCATGCAGGAGACAATATTGAAAATAAGACTCTATTCTAGAGTCATCGGCGAGAAGTACTCGCGTGTAATTAAACAGGGGTGAGAGAGAGAGAGAAGGAGAGATTGATGTTTTATTTGCATCTAATTTTCTTTAACGATCCATCGCTCTGTCGAACGAGGATGAACACATTGAAATTAAAATACGCAGAAGTTGGCGAGAACTTATTTATGAAAGTTCGTGCGGATGAAGTGTGTGCGCAAGCTAATTTATTAGTCATCTTGTATAGATAAATATCTATGACGTACTTTCTATACGTCCGATAAAAATCGTCAGAGTGTGTTAATACTGTTAATGCGCTCTCGCGCGCACGAACGGACCGGAAAGTCTGCGAGAAAGTTTCTGAAAATGTAGAAAACCCATTTCTTGTCGTAAACGGTCCAGTTGAAAGGAACCATTCCAAAAACAACATGTGTATCCTTTTCTGTGACAAGAAAGTAGGGAAATTCGAAGGTAGAAAAGCATTTATTATAAAATTAGTATAGAAAAGTATTTATTTTATAATAAAAACATTCAGTCGTTTCATCTTGTTATTACTTGGCTGTTAAATTAGATCAGTACGTGAATCATTAAACTTTTGTCACTGTAAGGGGGGAAACTACGTTTTACGTCAATTAGCAGCTTTTTTTTTTACTGCTCATGAATAGCAGTTATGTACCATCCCTCGTGAACAAGACGCGTCGCTCGTTTACGTAATTTGAACACAAAACAAGGTATCTTCATTTGTGTCCCCCCCCCCCCTCTCGTTAAACTAAAATAGTCCATCGATTTTTATCAACTATACACGATACATTCCGCGACACAATCATATGGGACATGTGAGCAAATTGGAGAACACGATACTTTACTAAAGATTTTCTCTTTCCGTTTACTTCGTACAGTGTGTACGATTTATACGAAATATTATCTGTAATTACAGATTCGAGAATTCTAATCGGCGATAACTGAATTGATTTAGTTGATTCATTCAGATGAATTTATTTAATCAATTTAACGAAAAGAAAATGAATCTTAAGTACTGCGTCCTTTAATTATATAAAAATATATTTGCGATTGCAAATACCAGTGCACTTCATATTATTTGTCATGTGATCCATAATGTAGCTCATAATACGCAAAATGTTTTCGAGTAAATATTAATAACGAGGGAAAACGTTTATTTCACAAAGTAAAGATGGAATTTCATTTTACGTTTTTAAAACTGAGAAAAATACGGTTGACATATTTTGACAGAGTAGAATGACGTTGACATAGTGTAAATAAGTTTGACATAGCGAAACAAATAATAGCAAAATAACAGGAGTTTATTTATGTTAAAGAGGAGAGAGAAAAGAGATGAAATACGTTTGATAAACAGAAGTTTCGCGGAAAGAAACAACTGATGAAGTTTGTTCATTTAATTTTGTAACGAAATAATTTTTATATTGAGGTTTAAAATAAATCTTGTTTTAAGATAAACGTGTTCATATACGTGTTTTAAACAGGAACATCCCACGCCCCATCCAGATGTTCTTTTCCCTTCTCGTGAAATATTAAAATTTCTGCACACGAATGAACTTATTTAGTAATAAAAAGTTGGAATTTTTTTTATTGAAAAACTTCTTTCTTTATAAATTCTGTCTATCAAAAGATCTTTCCCTCTAGATTTTATTTGTAGGGAAGTTTTACAATTTCTTATAAATCTCTTTCAAACCTTACCTATCAGAGATCTAAAACTTTCTGTTATATAGTAAAAGCTCCTCTAAAAGCCCTCTGCCTACGGTATTAAGAAGTTTCAAAAGTTTCTTTCTAAAAATTCTACCTGTACAAGTCTGTTCATTCAAATCAGTCAAGATCAAAGAATAATAAGAAAAACGAGTCACTCTCATCTCTACTTATTTGAGATGTAATTAAATATTTGCTTAATTAATGAGGCGAGTTTTTAAAAGAAAATTTTCAACTGAGAGGAAAACGCTGCGTTGGAATTTTGTTATTTGTTTCATACGTTCATATCTGTCTAATCGAAATCATTAGCATTCAAAGCAATTGGAGTTTGAACTTAGTAACTGAGTTTGAATTTAAATTTAAATTGAGCGAGGGATTGAGTCAGGCATATTTCATTTTGAATAGGGTAAAATTTCAAAGGTTTAAATGTCTAATCTCCATAAATATTTCTTCGCAAAATTAGAATGATTACTTGATTTTCTTCTTGATTATAATTTATTCTTATCCAGTGGTATTTTCAAAAACAAGCATTTAGGTATTAAAATGAAAAAAAAGGGATCAACTCCTCCGTATAAACATGAACAACAAAACGTGAGTGGAATATCTCCTTCGTTTCGCAGTACTTAATTTACTTAGTGCAATTACAAAATCAAGTACACTCTAAATAAAACGCGAAGCACATAGAACGACTAAAAGTTGGATTTATATGTCAAATGAAAGTTTAATAATAATAATAATATGTCAAATGAATTCTCGTACGAATGAAAATGTTTGTGACAGCCACAAAATCTTTCGGTGTAAAAGAATTTTCTTTCAACAATTTTAACGATTCGCGATGAAAGACGCGATAAGGAATCGCAGTATCTTCGTAAATGGCAAGAGCGAAGACCAAATACGGTCACTTCACGGCGACTCTAATTTGCGACTGAAATTGACATTCTGTCGCAACTCCACTTCAAGACAAGAGACTTGAGCCGTAATTAATTACTCGTGATAAAAAAAAACATTGCAATTTCACCTCGTGTGAAGGTGAATCGACATTTATGTCGACCAAGAAATAGACTACTACTACTACTACTACTACTACTACTATAAATACACAGGGCGAGCATAGTGACAAAGTAATAACAATAATGACTTCTCATTCTTTGGATGGAAAGCCATTAACAGTTTCCCTCTTATAGCCTCTTCTTTCTTTAGCACAATGAAACTAGAATCTGGACTCAGGAGCTTTTCTAGTCGCGAAATAAAGAATAACTTGCAAATTATTAGCGAAAGCTGATTACAGACGGACAGTGCAATGCTCGAGAGCAATAGATGTAACAACAAGAATTGTTGGCAGTATCCCCGGGCGATACTTTCATCAAAGCACATCTTTGAAAATACAAGAGTGACGTTTGAAATCCTTGCTTTGACTCTGAAATCTGTCCGTCACCAAGTGTTTCCTTCCACGTGAAAGATATATTGTTGGACGGACAAAATTAAACTTTGATATATCCTCATACTTCAAATTTCATTCAAGTTATACATGGTGTTGCCGGGTTAAATCGCCATTTATGTCGACTGTAGATATCAATTTAGGATCGTAAAACGAACAAATTTCTCCTGTATAAGTATGCTCGTAAATGCTTTCTTAAAGAGATATTTACTACTTGTAGGACTTGGTAACGTATGCCATCAAAATAATTCAGATTTATTACGTATATTACTAAAGAAAATTGTTGTATTTATTACTAAAAATAATTGTAATTATTACGTATGTTGCTTCAGCTTGGAAACAAGCATTAATCCCGGAAACACAGATATTTCAATGTTATCCATTCCTAACTCTTCATAACTTTAGAAGTAAATATCTCTTAAAGGAAGCATTCGCGAGCATACTTCCAGAGGAAAAATTTGTTTGTTTTAGGGTTCTAAATTCGTATCTAAAGTTTGGCGATTTAACCCGGGAACATTCTGTATAAGTTGAATAAAATTATACATTATTTGCCATCATTAATTATCCATATGCAAGGAAACCCTAGTTCAAGTTAATAAATAAAACACAGACAAGAAAATGTTATTATTCGCATGAAAGTTTATAATAAACATCACTATGCTCGTGAAAACTTCAATGAGATACAACCAGTCACTCGTGTCAATTCGGAATTTTCATTCCACGACAAGATTTAAGCGATCAGAGGAACAATAATGCATGCGACTCACGACTGGATGAGGGGAATGTTGCCATCGACGTAGTAATAGCCCAGAAAATCGCAAGTCAGCGGAAGATTGATGCTCGTTATCACGGGAAATCCATTCAATCTCACAGTGAAAGGGGAAACGGCGAGATATCTATAACGGAATGTGAATTATTATAAATGAAACACGCGGTAATCGAGTTCAAAATCTAACGATAATTTTAACCTCTTGCGCTGGGAACTGGTTCGCGGACCATAACGAGTGACCGAATCGTATACAATAACTCGTCTTCTTTTCGAATTCATTCGGTATATCATTGGATAGAAATTACTAAGAAGTAATAAATTTATTATTTGTTTTGCCTGGGTTATATTTAAATATACTTAAAATTGGGAAAATATTGCAACTTTGGGATACAAAATTCTCGACGTGCGTGGCACGTCATTTCAGCGCAAGAGGTTAATAATCCGAGTAAAAACACAATTGAAAGAAAAAGAAATTTAATAGTGGAGTAGTATTTAATAAATTAACAAGTGACAACTAAACAAACCTAATTGTACCAGTGTATGAAGTGCCAGTGAGAATACCACGCAATTAACAGGTTACCGTACTTTAACGGAATTAGTACGATTGAACTTCGATTTTCGAGAATCGAATGATACCCGCGTCGTTGTTTCGTCCAAATTTGGTAGTGGGGATACTGTCAACAAGTCGAACACGTTAGCATTGTAGGTAATATTTCACAAATTGGCAAGTAAATGTTACAATCAAACAAAGTAAATAATTACAAGTAGTAATTAAAATAGATTTAATACGATGAAAATACCACGGAATTGTTTAGATCAAGTGTTTACCTTAACGGAATTAATACGATTAAACGGTTCGATCTTTAACAATCCAATGATTACGTCACGCCACAAACTTCATAATTGCCGGCGAGAAGTCGAGCGTATTAATATTATAATAATATTATAGTAGTAACTAAACGAAATTAATATATAATGGTGTACAAAAGCAGAATAACAGTGAACATACTACGCAGTTAATAGGTTATGTATCTTAATGGAATTAGTACGGCTACCATCTTGCTTCGATTTTCGAGAATCGAATAATGCCACGCGTCACTGTTTTCACTACAAATTTCGCAGTAGTGGGGATGCCAGTGCGACGACAAGTCGAATCGCGTGTGTATGTTTGGACACAACTCTTGTAAGGCTTGGAGAAGTGTGTTTTGAAAAGCTGTGACAGGCTCGTATTGCGCATAAAGGAATAAATACGTGAGTAAATAAATACGTTATGTGATTAATTCAACATTTGTTAAAGAACAATAGTTATAAAATGAACAAGTTATTCGGCTTTCTGATTTTTCAAATGGCGTCACGTGACGCCATGATTGTTACATTAATAATTCTCAATAAAAAAAAGGCACGTATATTTAAGTTCAAATCATACTCTTACACAGTGATCAATAACTATATAATGATATACGACAAGTTATAGGTTATCTTGTAATACATATTTCACTGATAATGTGAACTCAATTGTACAAGGGGGCTCTTTTCCCTTTTCTTGTCATAATCTGTCGGAATCACGTGATCACGTGCGATTTTATCGATTGGAATTAAAATTAAACACAGCTATGAAATTACAAATTAATTACTATTACACGGCAAAGGCACGAAATGCTTTTAACGTTTCTTAATTTTATCTGGATACATGATCATTATAAGATGAGAGGCGTTGAATAAAAATTCCTTCTTTTAATAATAGCAAAACATTCTGAGATAGTAATTAACATCCTCTTATTAAAGGAAGTCGATTAGTAGCGTTTAAATAAGTATAACTCTCTAATGAGGAAGAAAAGGAAGAAATAATTTTAAACTAATTATCCGTTTCATAAAAGAATTTTATTACGTTAAATTCTTCGAATAAGAGGGGTATAATTGTTCATTAAAATTTCATATTTCAATACGAATTTTGAGTAAATGTTCATTGAAAAAACGAATCCTTTGAAAACGGGAGAATGATACAGAAACAGATTCGTGCGCTACTTTTAGATAAATCAACGTTCGTCTGTTCAACATTTCAAAGCTCCACTTACGCACATACGGAATTGTTTCTCAAACAATTTCTCTTTGAAAGATCTTGCGTGCAACGCGCAAATTATGTATGTGGATAGGAAAATCAAAACAGTATATTTAGATTTCTAATTTAGCTTCTGAATATTTTCTCCGACGTATGTATATCAATAATTTAAATATTTTACACATAGCGACATTAGGATAAAGTCGCCTAACCAGTGGGTACCACTTTTTAAAAATAGTTACAATCTGAGTGAATCTTTCAAAAGATCTTTCTGGGATGCAATTCATCAACACGTGTTAGCTCGAGGTGATCGATGACTTTCAACGCCAGCGTGAAAACAAAACAACTGACAAAAAACGTTTAGTTACGAAAATATCACGTCTTCATTTTTCTTGATTTTTCACCTGTTTTATTTCATTTCAGTCTCATTTCGACGTCACTGTCATCACGGATTATTTTCAGTAGTCTCTTTCGAGACGTTATTATCGAGAAGATATTTATCGAAGATTACATTTATTTTATTTGAGATTAAGATATCAAGATGTTATTATTAAGATATTTTCTTGCAAAGATCACTCTTAAATTGTGCAGATGAACAGTTAAATTATTCTTGCAATCTGCATAATCTTCTTTCATCGCTAAAGTATATCATCGCTTTCTTTTTTTAAACTCGCAAGAGTGTTACACGCGAAACGGCAAATGAGAATTATAACAGTTTCGTTTCCTCTGTTTTTTTTTTTTTTTTAAATATTCAACATGCGTAATCTATAACAATTAACCTTCTTTTTTTCCCCCCAAATGTCGTTTCTCGTACTCGAATATCGACAGAATTTCAAACTTTTGCAGAATAACATTTCACGTGTACGCGACGTGTACGTGCAGGTTTGACGTGGAACGTTCACGCATGTCTTCGATTTATGTGACACAACTTGAACAGAAGTTGTGACACACAACTCTCGTGTTGAAGGTTTTCAATCAGCGGAATATTTTGCACTTCGTTGGGTATATTTCCTGTATAAAATAAATGAGAGAACGATTCGCGTTGAAAGTTTGACGAAGACAAAGAGCAACGAACGAATAAAGAATATCGATGTAGGGAGAGCCTGTTGGCAGCCTTTGCATTTCTCTGTTTTAAAAATGAATTTCACAGAAATGTTTCGCTGAAACCGACATATCGACACATCAAGAATATTTAATTCTTTCCACCTTAAATTCGATTTTGCCAAATTCACCCGATTGAAAATAAAATTAAACGTGGTTGGGCTTCGAGTTAGGTTTAGAAAAATAGCAGACACAGGGTTAAATATTTCCGAGATTCGTCGGATACCCAGGAATCTCCCCTTGCTTCGTTCGAAAATGAAGTATTTAGTATTCACTTCGGGATAGGTTTAGGGGAGAATAACATACTCTCATTCACGTTGAGGAAAATTTAAGAAAGAAATGTGTCGAGGCAGAAGATCAATTTGAAATCGAGATTGGATTTTTATGAGATTGCGAAAGTGGCTTAAGTCGATAGCTTTTCAGAATCCAATCATCTTACCCCCGCGAAAGTATGTCGTTCGCGAGTGATCGCCATGATTATCGAACTGTAGTTACGAGCCAACAATAAGAACGAAGAATGTCGTACTCCGTTGGTAATTTTCTGTGACAATTAACATTTCGTCTCCATTCTCGACATTCAAATCAACAGACTTTGGGTAAAATCGCCGTAAGTTGGTCATTCTAGTCTAAGTTTATGGCGGATATTTGTAAATTCATTAAATTGCTAATTTTTCTGCGCTGCTTCTGTTTCAATGAATCTCCCCTTAATCCTTATTTATTCTTAGCTCTGTTCGAACGAAATACGCTTCACGCGTTGAACGCGAGAACGAAATCCCCAGGATCGACTCGCCGGGATTACCAATCCCCGTTTCAATTGCTAAATTGCAATTTCTTTTTCGTTTTTAATTTATAGTTAACGTCGCATCTACCTTCTGGTCATTATCGACTGGTCATAAGTACTGTTTCCTTCTTTTCTAGATGATTATATCTTATGGTAGATGTTAGTTTCCTTTTGGATAATTCAGGACATTTCACTATGTGTTTCTGCGACGTTCAGGACTGCCGGTGAAGTTATTTTGTATTTGCAGAATTGCAACTCTTCTATCTCGTAACGCGCTATCTTGAAACAGCTGAAACGTCGCGTCGATCAATCGATCGTCTTTTAACAGATTTGCTCGCGGTCTACGATATAACGCGCCATCAAAGAAATATCAATATAGCGTGTATTTAAAAGAGACGATTATCTATAGGACAGAAGGTTTCGATAGAACAAGAAATCGTTGTAGCCTCGTTTCTAGTCTGCTCGGAACATTTTAATGCCAATCTGACGTAGCATCGGCCTAGTTGTCGTACGGCACACGTTATCCAACGTAATCGCTTAGGGGTACACGAAGCCGTGTACTTCTAATGCTACATACATATGTAAGTACGTACGTACGTACGTACGTAGCGTGGCACATTAGTGACTGCACGGTGCCTGCGCTCATTTTCTTACTCTAATCGATATCATTGACCATTTGAACGCGCGGTAATCCGTGTCATGGAAACATATTTGTACATTCATTCACCTTTCCCTTTTTTTTTTTTCTTCTTTTCTTTTTTCTCTTTTCTTTTCTTTTTCTCGTCGAATGAAATTCAACAATTTCGAGATGGAAAAAAAGTTACATTCTCTGCTTTCAATGGGGCACCGGTTCAGTTAATATTGGCTCTTCAAAGGTTACAAAGTCAATTTACCCTCGATCAATTATACAGGGTGTTTCGTAACTTGTGGGACCCGCTTCGGCAGCTGATTATACGCTTAAAAATGATGGAAAAAAGTCATGTAAATATGTGTCCTATCTGTCTTCGTTTATGAGATATAATGAATTTTATAAACAGAGCAAACTCTAGTAAGCTAGTTTTACCAGCGATGGTATATTCAATTTTCATAATAACCATAATTGGGATGAAGAAAACCCACATGTTATTGTGCTTTCAAGACATCAACACCAATTTAGTTTAAACGTATGGGCAGGAATAATTGATAAATTTTTAATTGGACCTCTTTTTCTTGGTGGGAAACTAACAGGCACAAAGTACGTTGATTTTTTGAGCACGCGTTTACACGAAATATTAGGGGAAGTTCTAGTCGATATTAGACATTGTATGCGGTTTATGCATGATGGATCTCCGCCGCATTTTAGCCGAGTGGCTAGGCAATTTTTAAATAACTTTGCAAATAAATGGATTGGTCGTGGAGGTCCTATTGCATGGCCTGCTCGTTCTCCGGATTTGAATCCATTAGATTTTCANTATATGACTTTTTTTCATTATTTTTAGGCGTACAATCAGCTTCCGAAGTGGGTCCCACAAGTTACGAAACACCCTGTATAAATTGAACAAACCTTCTTATCTTCCTTCGTCTCATATTATTAACATAATTAATTTTATTTTTAAGCAGAGAAGATATTTGTACGAAGTTGTACATTATATATCTCTTCTCATTTTATATGCGTTGATGTATTTATCTCTTTTAGTTCAATCGTTATCATTGACCATTTGAACAATAATTCGTGTCACGAAGACGTGTTTGCGAATTCATTCACCTTTTTCTTTTTCATCGAACGTTTCAACAATTGGCAATTTCGAAATTTAGTTGTAAGAACTAAAAGGTTCAAAAGTTACACAGGCTACCAGTTTAGTTAATAGTGGTTCTTTAAAGATTACAAAGTCAGTTTACGCTTGATCAATTATAAATTGAACAAACCTCTTCCTTCGTCACGATTAACTTCGTTTTCAATGTTTAGAAGATATTCTACGAAGTTACACGTTAATTTATAACGAAGTTATACATTATACATCAGTCGTACAGTTGCACATTAATTTATAACGAAGTTATACATTAATTTTTGACGTTATACATTAATTTTTGACAAAGATAGAATCATATTGTGCCAGTATCATTCTGGAGTGACTTGCCACGCACGTCGAGAATTCTTTGTCTCAAATTGCAACATTCTCTCAGCTTTAAGTATGTTTAAATGTAACCGACAGGCAAAACAAATGATAAATTTGTTATTTCTTAATAATTTCTATCCACACATATCACACCTACGAATACAGAAGAAAAAGAAAGCGACGAATTGTTGTATACGGTTCGGTCACTCGTTAT